GAAAAGATAAACGAGACGATGAATTATTCATTAGTAGATAAGCACGATTTTAACAAAGAACGATCGCGGTCTGGCTGGCGTGTTCGCCGGCGCGGTGGGCAAACTTATTTCGGTGGATGCAGATGGAAGAGGAATGCGGGCGAGGAGGAAAGACGAGAGAGGCATCGATATTCCGACTCGAACCGCCAATAATAAGAAGGACACGTACGATTCTGCTTCGCGTGTCCCTCTCGAACCGGTATTTCGAACGAACGTAATTTCCGATCGTTCACTCCCACTGTACCCGGTGCACGAGAAGTCGATCGTTTATCGCGCGCGTGGGTCGATTAATGAACAGGATAATCGATTTACGCCAATCTCGTAAAAGTTGCCGAACAAAGTACAACGTCTTTGATGGCGTAACCGCAAATCGTTGGATCGGCCGTATGCGCGGTTTTCAGCGAAAACAATTTCGTTGTCTTCTCAATCTACTACAAACCACACTGGAATTTATCGTCTATATCTACGAACTGGGATTTGTACCGCAATTGTTTTCAAAGGAGCACCGCAGCGAGCATAAAGGGAACGGAATTTCAACGGGGTCCCCCCTGCGTTTCTCCCGCGTTCGCTTTATCTATCCATCTATCATCGCGCGGATACCAAGAGGCAACAACTATTTTATCGAGACGTAGATCGCGCGATGAACGGTGATACGCGTTATGGACAGATTCCAATTCGCCGAGTTAAAGCGTGACGTACGTCCTTGCCGCGGGAGACGGATAATCGTAAAATACTCGTACCCGTATAAAGCGACGTTCTCTCTCCCTTGTTCTTTCGTGTCGTTACACCGTTCGGAGTTTCGATCCCTGTACGGGAACCCGGGAAGCGTTCGGGGCGAGAACGGTCTACGAGAGCGAACGAGAAGTAACTTTGACCCGGCTACACGAGTTCCTTTACGTTGTCGGTTACCGTTCGCGTTCTCCGCCGTGGACCGTTAACGATCACGGTTATCGTTAGCGTAACGAAGGAAATTAGCCGTTGCGTTAGTTTCAGTTTACCGAGAAAAGCGCGGAGAAGTGGCGGGAAACGAGGCCTAGAGAGGCAGGAAAAACGATTATCCCGTTACGAAGAAATTTCTATGCTCGGTGAATTCGCTGCATCCGCGTGGCGGTAACGGCCTCGAGACCCCGCAAAGGCACGAACAAACTCGTTCCTTTTCCCGGCGAGAGAACCGAGAGATCTCCGCCGACGAATCGTCGAGGGAAGAAAACGGTGGAAAGTTAATTTCCCCTCTTTTTTCCATTCGCGAAGATTTCCCCGCGGCACGCGTTTACAAACGACCGAGCTTATTATCGCCTTTAAAGTACTCCTCTCGTTCGTTTTCTCTCTCTCTGTCTCGAAATCGTAGCCGCGTATCGATCTCTTTCCAAGAGATAACGGAACAAGGGAATAATTGTTTCATCCATCGGCCTCGTCGCTTCTCCTCTTCTGTCTCTGCCTTTCGAACGGTCGTCGTTAAGCCTTCGATCTCGCGGACAATTAGTCGAACGTACGAGTCGCGACGCCATTTCCCCCGAGGTCGCCAGCTGAATTTATAGCGGGGATTCCGTGTTCCGTAGGCGACCGCGTTCTCGTCGAAGCGACGATAAAATTGCTGGTAACGAGAGTATTTCCGCAACTTTGACTCGTCAAAGCTTACGCGGAACGCTTATCAGGAACGTTTTGCTCCGACGTACCGAATAAGTCGAATCGATCCGTAATCCCGTTTCGTTTTCACTATTTTTATTCAGTTTACCCTCGCTGGAACACCGTGACCCGTTCGATCGGAAATAGAACGTGGTCCTGGGGCTGCGAACGGTAATAACGGTCGCAGTGAAATTAACAATCGTTTCGTATCGATCCGCGTTCGAGCGTGGCTCGATTCACGAGACCCGCCTGCATATCGATAATCGCTAATCGTAAGCGCGTACTATCTATCTCATCCAGTAGTACCGTTCGGAAGCTCGGGGAGAGGAGAGAAAGATAACGCGCGGGGGAGGCACGTTATCGGAGCGAGGACGCGAAGGAACGGTGTGCGGCAACGAATACCGAGAGACGACGCTCTCGACGCGCTGCTCGTGGCGTCGATGTCTCTGAATTCCGTCCGATACGATGGAAATATCTAAAGAGGAAAGGTGAGCCCGACCTCGACACGGCCGAGGAGGAGGTATCCGATCGATGCAGCGTGTCGAAAGCCGAAGATCGGATCGTGGCCGTGGTCGGACGTTGTTTCGGTGGCGTAGCACGCGCGCCTCCGTCCTTTCGATGCGGAGAGTGGAGAGTCGCGTGCATTTCGCACCTGCTCGACTCGGAACGCGCACGCGCCCAGGTATACGACCTACCAGCGCACCGACCCAAAGTGGCGCGACGTCGAGCTTTCGTAGTCGGCATCGGCCATCCGCGACGCGAACTTTCCTCTCGGTCACGCCGCTCGTGTCCTCCGGTGATCGACGAAGCGGCTCGCAGCGCGTCGCGTGTCCTCGCGATACGCCGCGAAAACGACAAATTTATTTATTTCGTTGACCGTTTCGAACATTTCAATTTCGCGGCTTTCCACATGTCCGGTCAAACCGAGCCCTCGCTCGAGACGCGCGGTTTCGCTTTCGATCTCTCTTAGCGTTCGTCGCGTCGGTGCTTTCGATGCTCCTCGGTAACTCGTGACCGAACCGGAATCGTGTGCGGCCGATGAGTCGGAAGTAGCTTCTCCACGAGTAGCCGCTAGCGGCG